TAATACTTTCACTCTTTCAACGTATATCTGGGAGATATTGTACCTGAAAAGAGGCGGAAGTCATTATATATGAGCATATATTGTACAGCAAATAAACCATATTAGATTTTCAATTCAACCCAATGTTGTTTTTTATATATGTTTTGTTTTGTTCATTGATATTGCCTTTTGAGACGAAGGAATATAATTTATTAAATGTGTTTCAATTATTTTTGTTAACTTCACACACATTCACATTTGCTATACACTGATGGCCAACAAAAGGGGGTTTATTTTATGGTTTTATAAACGACTCTCTCTCTCTCTCTCTCTCTCTCTCTCGCACTCATTCACATTCACTAACCATTCAGTCATATTATTAATGAAATTCTATGTCTAGTTTTTTCCTTTTTACAATTCTTTAAGCCTTTCATACATTTTCACACAATAACTGAAACGACAATATTATATACAATACTATATGACAAACGATGAAAACTATATTTTATATTTATTTAAACAATAATACAAAATATTATATATAAAGAAAACACTATTTTAAATATTTTCATTCAATTTACACACAACTCAAGTGCTGTGGAAGAAAAATGTAGATAATATTTATAAATATCTATAAAAAATGGGAATAAATTTTCGCATTATTTTTGACAAATATGTCAGAAAAATGTTTATACTTTTATGCATATTCCGTGTTAAGTGTTTTTGGACTCTAATGTAAGCGAAATATTATAATTTTACAATAAATTAATTAAAACGGATATTATATCTCTTTAAATTCACTTAACGTAATCACTGTTTAAAAACAAATCCCATTAAAATATTCCGTAAATAACTCATTGAAAATAAACAAAAACAACATTAATGAAAATCATATAAATTTTTCACCATATTAAACTAAATTGAATTCATTAACTCTCGACTCGTATATGTTTAATATACAAGTAAAATCTAGTAAAGTCTATTAAAACAAGATGAAAACGATCACCATGATTATAATTAATGGCAATGAAATACCTCGGGTTTGAGATATTGGGCGGGAGGACGAGATGACATCTTTGACGCAAAAGTCCGGCCCAAAGCTGAACACCAATTATGCCAAATATGAAGAATACAAAAAAGCACAGCATTAGGACGTTTCCCAACATCTGTATTGAATAGACAAACGAGTCATCAATTTCACAACAATTGTTACCATAAATAGATTGTGTCAATAAAATTATCATATTTACATATTCGACCGGAATATTCTCGTATATAAAACTTATGTATTGATATAACATTGTATATGTAAAGTATACTAACCGGGAGTGTGTCGAGTAGTAGCATAACCAGAATACGCATACCTGTGATGATTGTTTTGAGTGTGGGATTAAAACACTTGTTAATCAGTAAATAGTGCTAAAAGATCACTACATTATTGGTTATTATGAATGACTACATACTGGGAATCCGATTGATTGCACGCAATGGTCGCAAAACTCTCACTGTTCTGATCGCCGATAGATTCATGTTTCCCACGTCTAGACAGTACTCCAGTGCTCTGTTTGAGAAAGTGAGAGAGAGAGAGAGAGAGAGAGAGAGAGAGTTAATATAAAACCCATTTGTAATTTATATTAAAAAAGGTTTTTCATTTTAAATTCAGTAAATATTTATAAAATTTGCTTAAAATTTAGTTTATTTGTTTGGTTTTCATATTTGAAATTTGTATATATTTCTTCAAATAAAGAATTTTATTAAATTCTTGTGTATAATGTTTTATATCACAATTTATAGCACAATAATATTTAATACTATTTTTATGTTAAAAATGTATTGTATTATTCAAGAGATGACTGGACTCATTGTCCGACAAATATATTATAGAAATAATAAATTTAAGTCCAAATAGAGATCGCAAAGAATTTTTAAAATGAATGATCGTTACATCAAAAGATACTTAGCTTTTATTATTGACATTTCGCTACAGAATTGCTTTATAAATATTTTATCCTTAAATAAATGTATAAATCCTTTAATATATTTTCAAGAATCGACAAAATGTTCTAAATTTTTAGTTAATTATTATTTAATTGATAATGATTTATAATTTTATGCATTAATATGATATCATACAGTATATAATGCTAGTTATAATATTTGTAAATAATTCCTAATACAGTATAACATTAGATGAAAACTTCTTCAACAAAATCGTTAAATATTTAATTCGTTAAAAAATATGTGAACTAAATCTTTTAAAATATAGATTTATAAATACTATAATATATTTCGTTTTTATGTTTAAATTTACTGTCAGTCAATCTCTCTCTCTCTCTCTCTCTCTCTCTCTTAAACAGAGCACTGGAGTACTGTCTAGACGTGGGAAACATGAATCTATCGGCGATCAGAACAGTGAGAGTTTTGCGACCATTGCGTGCAATCAATCGGATTCCCAGTATGTATCTCTCTCTCTCTCTCTCTCTCTCTCTCTTTCTTTCTTTCTTTCTATTTTATACATCATATAAAATGTATGCGAGATTTAAAATTATTATCAAATCTTCTCTTTTTCTCTTCACTCATATATTTTATTTTTTGTCGGTTTTTTGAGTTAAAGTTTTTTTTCACTCACTTTCTGTTATACACGTGAATAAAGTTTTTATTAAGTGTTTTTGTGTGAATGAAAAAATATATTCAATTCTTATGCATCAGAAGAGGAAGAGTTTTCAATAATTTTCGATTAAAATGTAATATTAATAAAAAAAAGTGTCTTATTTTTCATCGCCAATATTCCGGGTATTACTTAACTTCTCTCCTGATGTGTGAAATACAATAGCAAATAAAACTAACAGTTATTTTCTCTGTGCGATCGTTTGAAAGGTTCATAAATTCAACGCTAAATTATATGCTTTATGTTCTGTAATACAAGTGAATTATATAATAAAATATATATTTATTCTCTGATTTATCGCACAAATTAAATGTCGGTTTAAATAATATTTCGCTCAATCATTACATGTGAATTGGTTTGCATTTTTTGTCTCTCTCTCTCCTACTTTATGAGGATTTTTAAGACAATTGTATGTAAAACTCTAGTTATTTAATGTCATCAAAAATTCAATACATGTTATTTATAAAAGCATATAAGAAAAGACTCGTAAAGACTATCTGTGAATCTGATATAAATATATCGGGAATTTTGCAGAAATATTTTTATTCAAACATAATTTAATAGACAGTGCTTTGACTTAAATTGGATTTCTTTGTGCCACCGATTCGTGATAACAAAAAATATTTATAGATTTCTGTCAGAAATTCTTCTAAATTGTATTCTCCTTTATATACAGAATATTCTTATATATATTTTTATATTGTATATCATATATAATATACTGTATTATAAATATCCATACTTTATATTGGATTTTATTGTGTGTGATATAAATATTAAAGTTTTAAATAAAATTTTTATGTATTTAGAAATAATATTTCAAACATCTCTTATCGAAAAGATATTAAAAATAATTTTCTTATTTTCCAACCGAGTCTTTCAAATGAATGTGAACTGAAAAACTAAAAGTAATTTTTTAAATAATTGATCTCCACTTTCAAATCCAAGTTATATTAAAATTTTAAAACATATTTTTCAAATAAAAACCCGTTAAAAAGTCAAAGAAACTTGTGTTTCATGTGTCGAGTATTTCTTGAAATGAATTCAAAATTATAATACTAAGAAAAGAAAAATTTCTTACAGAGAGAGAGAGAGAGAGAGAGAGAGAGAGACTGTTCACTCTTCCGACAGAATAAATATTTCTGAGAAAAATATTTTCATATTATTATTATTTATTCCTTAACTCACATATTGTTTACAATTCATATAATAGTTGTAATAATAAGACAAAGAAATGGTAAAAATATTTTTAAATTCTTATAAATAATTCAAATAAAACAAAATTATTGTTTTTGCTTACGATGCGGGACAACATGAGAGAGAGAGAGAGAGAGAGAGAGAGAGAGAGAGAGAGAGAGAGAGAGAGAGAGAGAGAGAGATGTTTTTGACAAAATGCAAAGTCTTGCATATTTTTCGTCGGTATTTCATAAATACTGAATAAAACTTATGGCGAAAAACCAAATGCTAAATACGCTCACATTTGTATCGCATGTATAGCTAGTGTACACTTGTTATGAAAACTTATGTGTAAAATATAAAATTTGTACATAAATTGTAATTACATGCAAATGAATAGCATTTTTACGTAGTTTTCTCGCAAACAAAACACACTCTTTATTGAAGTCGTACTCAAGAATAATACTCATTGAATATGTTATTATTGAAGCTAAATATTTATGCATAACTTTTTCATTTATTATATTTTACATGCTTAGCTCTCTCTCTCTCTCTCTTTCTCTCTCTTTTCTCTCTCTCTCTCTCTCTCTCTCTCTCTCTCTCTCTCTCTCTCTC